ATACTTCCCCTTTCCTCTATAATAACTTATACAGTTGTGCTGCATTCTTAAACCTTTTGGTTTATGTTTCCCAAGTAATTAAGGGAATGATAGATAATGTGCTGTGGGCTTTTTATCTTACCTTAGTGTCACTATACATAAATTTTATTGGGATGGATAATTATTTTTAAATTTTGATGTTAATATTTATTTTAAAAAATTAAATATAAAACCTACTTTATTAAGAATTAATATTATAAATTAGGATTTAATTAATTTATTAATATTTTTATATATCTAAATATTTGTAGGGTTGATGTGACATAATACTCTTAGTGTTTCTAATTTTTATGTGATAATTATAAAGAATGTGAGAGGAAAAATGAGAGAAATTCTTTGGGATCTATCACTAGGGTGTACAATAAGATAGATTTGTGTTTGGACTTTGACTTGAGTTAATTTAGGGATATTTATGAGTGAAGAAATTGATTTTCTAGTAGGTAAAGAGTGTAATTTAAATAATAAACTCATAATTTGTTTTTAATTATTGTTCTATGAATATTTTTCTTTTGACAGTGAGGACTTCTACCCAGATTTGGTGATGTGATCATGGATTCTGACAAGGTGGGTTGACTTTAATCATAGAACAGGACACAGTAGTCATCCCTGGTCAATGCATGGCTTGATAATTTGCACTGATTACATTTATGTTATCATGGTTAAGTTGAACAAATAAGAAACAATGGCAAAATTTTTGTTGAGTATTATCAACTTACATATATGATTCACCTTTAGGAACTTTCACTGTGCTGAGACAAACATGAACATGAGCTCACAAGATCTGCATGATGTGGTGGACTTGCAAAGGGCTAAACATGTTTGCATGTGGAGATCATTAGGAAAGGAAGAAGAAAAGATTAGGTTACAAAAGGGCCCCTCTTGTTGTTGTAGAGTCCCCATCACCAAACCATAGTACCCTTCTGGTTAGATCTTCCTTCATCCTTTCATCTCCAACCCTCTTTATTTTATTGGAGAGAGCACCTCCACAACACATGCATCTGTCTGTGACCATGTTCAGCTAATGATGCAGTAACAAAGCAAGGAACAAAGCTGTGGAGTGGAGTATTAGTATGAGAATATTCATACTTGTTCTTGGAGGAATTGAAGAGCATTAAACCTCCTCAAGTTTCCTTGAGATGAAAGAGACAACCAAATGTTATTGATTGAGGGGTGATCACAGAGAGAGAGAGAGAGAGAGGAAGTGTCAAGTGGGATGTCACCTAAATAAATGTTCATACTTGTGGTTAGAGAGAGGTATTGGAGAGCAGTGAACCTTCTCAAGTTTCCTTGGGATGAAAGGGAGGAGATGGTATTGATTGAGGATGATCACAAAGAGAAGTCTCAAGTTTTGGGTTATGATCTAATGGCACATGCTGCTGGCCTGTAGTATTATTAGTCCTCCAACCAAGAGTAGAAAAGAAGCTGAAATGACTGCTGGACCATCTCATGCATCAGCAATACTTCTTAATGACATCTATTGTGTATCATCACATGCTTCTTCCATCTCTCAAGCATCAGCTGTTGTGGATCTCAACACTTAGCAGAATGTCTTGTACTTGAAACCACAGCACTTTCATCTGTCTTCCTCTTCTATTTGAAGCTGATGAAACACTTGGAAATATGAGCTCTCAAGAGGAGTATGATTCATCTCTGACAGGCCTAACAGCACTCAGTTTCCATCACAACTTGTCAGACTGCCACTTTCAGGTTCTACTCAACCATTCTTCTTGTGGTTGGTGACCTTCAGATAGTTTATGAGAGACCTCTGTTTGACTTAAGAGTTTAAGGTCAACTAATTAAAGTTAGCTTAAACCACTGACATCTATTGTCTACTAATCCACCTGTGGTTAGGCTATCCTATACCGACACATGCATCAAGCTGTGAAAAGACATGCTTAATTAGCAAGTTTTACTTCTGCTAATTAACTCCTGTGGTTTTCTCTGAGACCACAACAAACCCTAAGTTGTGAACTACAGGATGGAACATTCTATGTTTTCCTCAATATCATCATATTCATAATACTTTCTTCACGTATGATCAAACTTTCCTACACTGACACATAAATCAAGCTGTGAAAGGCATGCTTGTTGTTGGTGAACTCACGCACTATTGTCGAGGAGTCAGCATTGCTTGGTCCATGGGTCGATGTTTGGAGTTCTCGATCCTCGGGAGTGCATCTCTCGGTCGGTTGGAGGAGGTGCCGAGACCGAACTGGATTAAAGATTGGGGTGGCCGCGTCTCCAATGCGGGATTGAGTTAGCTCGAGGGTGGCTGCGTTCCTGCACACAGACCCTGGGTTGGGGATTCCCGACTTTGACCCCTTGTAGATTAAGTCAATGATTTTTTTTCCTTTTCTTTTTCCCCTTTGGTCAGATGTCGATCATGAGCTTTTATATTATTGTGAAACCCTGCGTTCCTGTAGTATTCTCTCATACCAGAACAAACCCTAGATTGTGAACTATGAGACAGAAGATTCTATCATAAAATGAAGCTGTGAAAGCCAGTTTCTACTTCTGCTCACAGTGCAGTGACGAGTGATGAACTCCTGTAGCTTTCTCTGACACCAGAACAAACCTTGGATCGGGAACTAGAGGATGAAAGATGCTCGTGTTCTCCTCGCCACCACTGACATCGAAGCTGTGTCGGTGAGTTAGCTGTTCGAACAGTGTGCAATGATCACCGGGAGAAAGGTTCGAGAGACAACACATATGATGATGGGGTATGAAACTCGTCATGATTGGGGTTTGCTATGCGACATGGCAACCACCTTCGGAGAGCCGTGCATGTCTCCATGATCACGAGAACAGAGAGACTGGACAAAACATATAGTTGGACAAGACAATGAAAACCAAATGAAAAGACGTGATGTGCTGTTGGTTTGTTGGTCGGATGCAAGATTGCATCATAGATTTGGAGTTTCTCTCGAGGATGATATAATTATTGTAATGTCACATGCGATGGATGAGATGACAAGATTAATGAAATTTGTGAGGAATTGAATAGATATTTATTGATTGATTGATTGATTATGACAACTAATCAGTACTCAACATTTACTTAGAAATACTTTGTGAGCAGAATATTAGAGTTTTCATGAAATGATCTCTTTGTTTATATAAGAAGGATCCCATCGAGATAAAGATTTTTCAAACAATTAGTTACTTATCGACGTAATAATTTCACTGAAATGCTTAGAACAAATCAAGAAATTATGATTAATAAAAAGGAAGAACGAGTTTTAACACCACAATATATTACGAGCTAACGATCTGATCTAAAAGTGTTAGACTAATCTATTTTTATAAATTTAAATTTAAATATTTTTTTATCAATAAATTAGAGCCGTCGGTTTAACGGATCAATCATCCTATCAAATCAGATTGTGACAAATATTGAATGATGCAAATTAGCCCTAAAAAAAAGAGAGCATCGCATTGTGTTTGATACGCTTCAAAGTGAGGTAGGCCTACGTGAGCCAATGGAGGTTTAGGAATTGAAGTTGGGGTGAAGCCAAGGCTTTGGCGTGGCTTGGAAGACGTGACCTTCTTCATGTGCCATGTTGTTTTCTTGATAGTAACAGATCCATGCATCGATCGATAAGACAATTGAGTTGATGTTGAGAGAGAGAGAAGATAGAGAAAGAGAGGAGGAATCAAACAAAATGTTTGGTACGAGACAGAGAATTAAAGAGTTAAAAAGGACAACATGAAAAGCAAATGCTAACTTTGGAAAGTCATATCAACAAGAATAGAAGGGCGTTCAATCTCCGCTCCATCATGATATCAAGTGAGTTAACGTAAATAAATATATATATATATAGTAAAATAAATGGCAAAAGTCAATTGCATCAATGAGTACAATTATTCTCAAAAGGAAAAGGTGAATGCTCCTATGTGCATTAGAGAGTCGCATTGTAGTCACAACCACTTTGGCAATTATTGATTACATATAATATATATATGGGTAATTTTTTTGAAAAAAAAATCTTAATTTTAAGAATTTTTTTAGAACATATCTCATCTTTTATAAAAGATGATTTTGCCCAATGCATCTTTGTCCCCAACAACCTGTGCCTTCGTGTATAAGCCCTTGATCGTTTTTGTATGATCCTTCGATCATCGATAACTTCCTTTCTCTTCTCGTGTTATTTTCATCGTCTTCATTACGAGAGAAGAGTTTAGGGCGATGATACAGGAAGATTAAGATAACGTTACGAGACAAAGATAAAAGTAATAGGGGGTCTATATGTGAAGGTGAGGAACATGCAGGTAATCCTCCTTCGCCCTCTTCAAATACATGACAACAAGAGAACAAGAATGACGATTAGAGGGTGAGAAGAAACACATAGGTGGAGCCATGATAATAGATTTTGCAAATATGTAGCTGTCCTTCACATTTATTCAATAAATTTTGATTGACAACTATTGATCACAGCTATCTTAGATATTATATATCATTAAAAGAAATGAAGCCCCAAAGAAGTCAATCAATTTGATGGGGTGTTACTGTTAATTAGCTTTTCATCACCAACAACTAATAAACAACATATATTAACCATGATATGTATACATATTCTCCTTTTTTTCGGATTTTTAGCTTAGAAAGAACTGGGATTAGGAATCGCAATCATTTGTAATCCAGCATTGTTCAATTTAAATATGAGCAAAAGGCAACTAAACCTAACCTGATAAAAACCATCATAATTGTGCAATATAAATTAACATATAATAAAGAAAAAATAGCTTACATTTGTATAGCTAAAAAATTGATATTTATTTTGGCTTTATACAGTCTCACCAAATCCAACAATATCTAACCCAATCTATTGTCATTTAGCCAATTCGAGAGTAGGCCAAGTTAGTAGTGTGATCGGTTAGACCACAAATTGCTTTCACGATAATAATCATTAAACACCCACTACTGTACTGAGAACGATATATAAATCAAGTAGATACAGCCATTCGCTGAAAGAGAACCACTTCATCTATGTTTTCGAAGAAAATTACAATAACACATCACAATCGTAAATGCTCGAGCAAAATGAGTTCATTTTACAGATGGATTGCAAATTTCATAACTACGTTAACAAAACTACCAGACTGGATGTTAATTGTAAGTAGAAAGAGAGCTGCTTATTCTATGCTTAGTGTATGAACACTGCTGCTGGCTGCTCGTACAACCGAAGAATGTTTTAGTCTGATTAGGCTGTGTGGAGCTGACAAATTGTCATTGAACCATTGGAAATGTAGACGATTTGAACGGTAATCAGCACCTGGAAATACGGCATACAATAATGACATGTCAGCATACATACGACCGGTAAATATAAAAGTTGGATATTACATTCATCCACAAAGTTACAATCGCAAGCGAGAAATATCAGAGAATAATTTCTTTTCATCTAGCTTTTCTGAGATTCAAGACCTCATCTCCAGTCAGGATGTATCTCACTCGTAGATATAACAGTTAGATATTGCATTCAATTACAAATTTCTCTTCATCTAGCTTTTCTGAAAACTGGAATATCATCTTTAGACAAATTTCAGCTTCCGTCGTTGACTAAATCTCAATGTACATGTTTCTCTGGCTCTTATCTAGGCATGCATCACATAAATCATGTGAAAACACAAGTACTCACATATGAATGCGGCAGAGGAAAACAAGCTTTTTATAATATTACTGTTGGCTTATTAGATCCTTTATACAGTGAAGTTTTCCCACTGATCTACTGGCAAGGTAGGTGCCTTGAGATTTTCTTCATGCTAAAAGAGGTTCAAATTGGGACATGAACTTCTAGAAGTCTTAAGCTTTTTGTACAGGGACATTGAATCGATACAAGTTGCAAGAACTGGGGAAAAATTAAGATTGAAACATAGACTCTACAGGAAGACAAAGTCACTCGACATGGACAGAAACAGCAGCTGCCAGCTCATTCAAGAATAAGAGGATAAAATTAACTTGGAATCCATTTTTGGAAGGTATGGGAAACCAAATAGACTAATATTACAATATTGATTCCGACTTTGAGATTACTCAACTCTTATAATATTTACATTTGTACAGTTTGATTTTTACAGCTAAATCATATATAACAGTTAAAAAATTGCTATTTACAGTTACTTCGATAGAATCAGTATATACTCCAAACAATATGTGGCTACTCGACAAAAAAGAAACAACCAAGACATATATCTTCAATATTTTTTTGTAAATCAAGATACAAGTTCTTGCATTCTACATTTCGTATATACAGTATATAGACTATATAAAGAACTCACTCCCACACCAAACCAGGACTTCCATGGATGGATAATATCCGAAAAACTATGATAATATTTGTGTACATTAGCATTCATGTACCTTGAGTGGTAATACCTTGATTAAATTAGCAACATGTTTCATAACATCATATTGCTTAATAGATGAAAATGTTGGTGTTTACATTAAAATTGTTTTTACGAAGTATCTTTCTGATACTGTTACCATATTAGTGATCACTGGTTGAATGGCTCTTTAAAGACTTATTGGCTTGATGTCGTGATGCCTGTATGTATGGAAGCCATCCTTTGTGGTTAAACTCTAATGTTATGACAACAATGTAAGGAAGGTCCTGAAAGGAGTAACTCAACTTCAACATTTACACATTTAACACTCTTATTTAACTTTTCTGATATTTCAGAACACAAGATAGATGAAATTCCTAATGGAAAATTCATCTTAGAACTTAAAATTTCAGTTCTATGCCATTTCACAATTTTCAGTTACATGAATGACACTATTGGATTAATCACACAAAACCATTCCATGCAAGTTCACAATATCACATTTTTTGTAAAGCGAAAAACCAACCTTAAGTCTCAAATGACACATAGAACTTATTGTTCTCACAATTTTAGTAGATGCTATATTTATTAATGTCACATAGCACTGATATGTATGATAAAAGGTTTCCCATGACAGAAGGATATTAAATATCTCAAAGTGTCAAAAGAGAAAGACATGAACGTGAGGCAACAATCTTTACATCCATTATCAATTGTGTATGGGGCTCTTAATTCAATCTGAGCTAAATGGTAAAAGAAGGTCTACAACTCTTGCAGACTAATATAGGTTGACAATTCTGGATTTTATATTTGCAGACATAATATTCTCATAGTTGTTGAAATAACCAAGACAAATAAGAACCAAAGTTCAGAAGGAGAACTACCAGATTTCCAACAATAAAGAGTCCAGGATGAAGGAAACATATTGAAACATTGGTCACCGCTCAGTTTCAAAAGGCATATCTGGAAAAATCAATTTAGCTCCATTTAACTAGTATTTGGAGAAATATCAATGAAACGTATAACTACAGAGACTTTGTTAACTGGTTGAAGCAAGAAGATACCTTTAAATTAAACTTTGTACTCATGGACATGCATCCACTTTGTACAAGACCACTTATTTCCCTTTATCACAGGGCATCCACCTGCAAGAATCAATCAAGAATTGAATAGCATGTTAAGGTTGAAAATACTTCTTTAAAACTAAAAGAAGACACCATGAACAGCAAAGTAGATTTTATTAGTCAATTTATAACCGACTCCCTAACCAGGAATAAGAAGCAACAAACCATGTAAACTTAAAGGGTCTAAAGAAGCATCAGGTTTCATGCTCCAGAAAAGCAATGCATCTCCCATCTTTGGCTTAATAGAAAGACCTTTCTCTCCACATTTAGATAACTCATTGGACCATGATAATGATCTGCTGCTTATTTTGGCATCGGGAAAAATTGTCTCCCCACCTTCTTCAACATCTGATCTATAGAATACAGATATCACAAAAAAAATCAAGAAAATGTAAAATGATATGACACTTTGCTTCCAGGTATCTATCTTGAAGCAATGTCAAAAATAACAAAGATGTAGATACTGGAGATACATACAAATACATCAGAAGAGTAGCTATCCTCTGACCCCCATTCTTAGCGTTATATTCATCAAGGAAATAGTCAAAGTGGGGTTCATACTTTTGTCCAACTTCATAATGCAGAACTTGAAGCCCCTCTCCATGCTCTATAAAATATTAAATTAAAAAAGGCTCACAAACAATAAAGACAAAAAGAAGTGCAAAACATGCTAAAAGGTGGAAGTATCAAATAAAGATTATTGTTATTCAAAATCATGCACAAAACTAATTGATTAGCATCTAAAATTGTAATTAATGATTAAAGGCTCAAAGTCTACAAGGCAATTGAGCATTATATCCTTCACACCAAGCAAAGGGCAATGACAAAGTTTGTATAAAAAAGCTTCACCGAAGGAGCTGCTAAATGCAGTTATCTTATAGTGCATATGTAGATCCATTACTGTAACTTAACTAGTAATCATCAAACTAAGTTCTGCCTGCCTCATATTTATACCAAACGCCCATTACAGAGGCGAACATCAGAACTCTGAAGTAATTATTCAGGATCTTCATTGGTTTAAATGTGTACATAGCAACAGGAACTTATTTTGGTGTAATATGTACCATCTTTTCCAAAATTGAACCCACCACATGGCTTAACTCATTTCTGGTCGCACATTGTTCATTGGCCTTCCATTTTTTATTTTGGTCGAGAACTCCTATATTCCCTTTGCTACCAAAATTTCCTCAATATACTTTTCAGTTTTCACATATTTAATTGTTATACTAGAAGAAGCTTAAGTTCGCTAATTCCTTTCTTATTCATTAGTGGTTCCCCAAATCTTGGAGAATTTCTTTCAATTGTCCTGATCTACAAAACTAAACATCTGGTACATCTATTATAAAGAAAGGACATGTATAAAATCAGAAAATACGTGAACATTCATGTTCTAACACATTTAGGACATCCAGTAGGATACCTATTGGAATAAAGGTATATTCTGCTATCCTTTTCTCGATGGCCCTGATTGTCTTATCTTGTCCCCTATGCAGAAACATGCCTGTGCTTGTACGAACCCTAAATAATTGAGATGCATAACACTGAGAAATTTTGGTCCAGATAAAAAATTCTCCAACATGAACATATAGCTGAAATATGCCAACCTGCTGTCTTTACTCTGACCAGTAGCACTATCAGCAACTGTTGACTTCTGCATATGAGGTCTCGCCAGCTCAATAAGATATTCACACTCTTCCTTAGACTGAATTTTTACAAGAGGGTTATGCAAGTATATTATGGACAGCCATCAATGTCATAAAAGAGTACCAAAACTGTATATGATAACACATAAAGATGGTATGAAGCTCTTAAAGGTATAGTGTGATCCACTTTGGTACAAGTTAAAACATTAAATGTAAGGCAATAAGCATCCAGATATATCACCAGATTGGTCCACAATCCATGATGTTGATTAAAATCACAGAGGGGCCGAAAAAATGAGGATATTAATGGTGATGTCTTCCAAGGACCTAAGTGAAGCAAAGTATTCAGCAAATTTATTAAATAATCTGATGTGACAAAAATTTTAAAGCGGACAATATATTAGAATGATTTAAATCACATATCATGCATTAATGTTGATGATTTAAATCAAACGTCATTCAAAAATCATGATGGAAGAACAGAATTAAAAATTAATGATGCTTCTATTAACCTATACAGAAAAGATGTTATTGTTAGGTACAAATTTAAGGACTCAGCCCACATTAAGATGTTATAAATGTACACACACACAATTCCTTTTTTTTAATCTTTTTGGAAGAAGCATGAACAAAAGGTGTATACATAGACTGAGAAAGATCCAAAATGGAACCATGAAATGTTTTCAAGAACGAAGGCCGAAATTAATGCCTCCGGAAGTCCCTTTCCTGTCAGAGAACGATAACCTGGCGCAGAAGATGCTACCGCCAAATTGAATTTAATTGCTTATATGACTGGCCAGATCAAATTACGGGCTGCGGTCCATTGTGCTAGCTTAATACCACCAGCATTGAACCACAATTTAAGCAGGAAATTAAAATTCTTCACATTTTTTTGAGAGATCAATCACAGAAAAGGAGGAAAATCACACGGTAAAGCAGTATAGAGAAACAAATACAAAAAAAAAAAAAATCAAACCTTTTTTTTTCGAAACCAAAAAATAAAATCCCCGCTCACAAAACCATAAAGAGAGGAGAAAGCCACTGATCTAACTAAAATTTGCACACACATCAACAGATCAGAGAAACGAGGCAAAGTTCAGAACTTTCCGCAGGGGGGAAAATTGACTAACCAAAAAGTTGTGGTAGACGAATGCTCGTGGCTCCCACGAGATTACCTCCGTCCACTGGTGCCCCAGCTGCCCCAAACCCTCCCTGCGCCCATCCGGTCAGATCCGCCACCAATCCACAAAACGACAAGTACTGACCGGGCAGAAGATGGGACTTACACGTCGCGGAGGGACCTGGAGCGGAGGCGAGGGTCGGCCTGGGACTTCGGGGCGGAGTCGGAGCGGACGGGGAGGGAGAAGATGCCGAGGGCAAGGAGGAGAAGAAGGACAACGGAGAGCACGAGAAGCATCATCAGGGCGAGCGCGTAGCGCGAGGAGGACTTCCGGCTGAGGAAGACGCGGGGGTACGACCGCCCCCCCTCCCTCGACATCAGCGGTCGAAACAACGACGCCATTCACCTCAGATTCGCACCAGTCGCTTTCGCTGTTGCATCTTCTTTCTTTATTGCATTGGAGAGGAAATCATGGGGGAATCGAAAGGGGGGATGGGATGGGAGGGGAGAAAAGTGCCGCGGCGATGGTGGTTTCAGCGGCGGTCGCCCGAGGTTTGGGTGAAAACAAAGTCTCCTGTTTGCTCGACGCTTTCGGGTGCGCGCAAAGTCACCCCCCAAACGGCACGTGGCGACTGGTCTTTTATTTGCCGTGTTGACGTTGGATTTTGGAGATCGCAAGAGTGAGGGATTCGGCTCAGCTGTCAACATCCAACCACCAAGAAGGATTATAGTGGCTGGTATTGATGCTTGCAATATGGGACCGGCTTTAAAGCCAATACAAAATCACAGTTTCTCAGATGAAGCTTGGGACGAGACACCGTTCTCAGCCGAGGCTTTTGGGTGCGTCGAGGTGAGGTTTCGATAGGGGCATCGCAAGAGTAAGTCGTTCGGATCTGTTGTCTCTTTCAAACCGTCGGACAGGATCTTCGTCCTCTTACTGAAGAAATTTATGTGGGACCCGAATGACACCCGATAGGAAAGCTAGGTTTCCTGGTTGGACGCTCAGACGAGACACAAGACTAATACGACAGCAGACGGAAACGCAATAAGTCAGGGGCGACGTGTGGTCTCATTCTTATCTGATGTGGTTCCCACGTGGAAATGACGTCACCCATAGAAGTTTTCATGGCTGATTCGATCCATCCATATATCGTGGTCCGGTAGACGCCGTCGCTCGGGGTTGCATTCTAATCTTATTTTATGTTATTTTGTTTTGTTTTGTTTTGTTTTATTTTATTTTATTTTATTGTATCAAGTAGTTATAAGACAAATTAATACATGATCGTGAATCACTTATAGGTTATTCCCAAGAATTCCAATTACTTTCCAAAAACTCATGTTTAATTCTTACAACACATTTGTTTTATGTTGTCGTGTGTCGAGCATGTAACATCTAAATCATCATACCAAATGGTAATCGAGTCAAATAGCTATATTAATGACCAACAATATTCGGCTTCAATTAAAGGTTTGAATACCCTAAATAAAGTTTAAAATTGCTAAAAATATAATTATTTCTTAAATATGTAGCACAACAATTAGTTTTTGGTTAGTTAGCATTTGATAAGAAACATAGATGAATCGAAATTCTATTTAAAAATATTAAAATCAAATGTGTATGATTTTAATTATCTTAAAATTTATTTTCACCATAAGAGGTTTTATCACATAAGAAGGCACGTAAAGTTTTTTAAATCAATAACATTTTTATGTAAGTACTAATTCATCCCTCTCCCATTTATATTTTGAAAAATTAGATCAATAGAAATAGATATAAAAGGATACTTAACTTATCCCAATCCAGATACATAAACACTATTGTCAAAAGGTTTGACATGAAGACTACTCATGTCAACTTAACACTAATGGATTCTACCATATTGAGTACTAAATCTTTATACAATTACCTAAGTCTATTAGATTAGTGAGTCTCTACCAAATAATTTTTCATTGACTCTTATTGGATCTTATCCATATGATCAAATAATTCATGAACTTATTAGATATCCAATAAGATAGGGGCTTCAATGTATTTCTCATCTTCGAACCTTTACTCATTTCAATATCTATCATTTATGTGTGACCCTCTAGGCCTAATATTGAGCTGGTCATGAGTCATACATATTAGAACTCTTTCTGGCTCAATGAATTATCATTTGATTCATCGAATACGAATGTTTTAGGCTACTACGTCGTAGTCCTCAAATGATACTTTCCATAATTATTATTATATATAATAATTAGATAATAATTATAATTTTTCACTTTATATATATACATATGTATATATATATGTATATATACATATGTATATATATATATGTATATATACATATGTATATATATATGTATATATACATATATGTATATATATGTATATATATATATGTATGTATATATATATATATACATATATATATATACATATATATATATACATATATATATATATGTATATAT